CATTACATTTCCTTCTTTTAATGGGGATTTTATTTCTACATTTGTAGTTGCATAGGATGTTTATTAAGGAATCTTATAGTAAAAAGATCTGTTGCTATAACATCTATTTTATATGTTCCAATGTCCAAGTTTAAGTAATTTCATGGCTACCTTGACTACTTCCCATGAGTAAAGTATTTCTTTAGTAAGAGAGGGCCTATGCACATCAGGTCCTCCACGTGAGTAGAATAAATTAACTCCTGCCTCCAAACTGCTGAGAAAAATAAAGCACTTAAGAAGATTAGAGTCCATTTTCCTTCCTGACAAGCCACACTGAAATTACATAAGATTAACTCCATTAACACCATTTCCCATTCTTTAAAATAGTCGACTATTAAGCCAGGCTTCAGTGGCTCACACTTACAATCTTAAGTCACTCAGGAGGATGACTTCAGATGGTAGTTGAAAGTCAACCCCAAGCAGAAAAGCCCATAAAGCTCTTATTTCTAATTGACCAGCAAAAAGTTAGAAGTGGAGCTGTGGTTCAGGTGGTAGAGTGCCAGCCTTGAGCTAAGGGACAGTGCCCTGAGTTCAAACTATAGTCAAAAATAAATAATAGTATTATTTTAATAATCATTTAATAATAAACTAATGACTATTTCGAAGCAGCATTTAGATCAGGTATGCTTTCAGAAGACATTTCAGAATGCTTAGAGAAGCTAATATAAGCACCATTTAAAGATTTACAATGGGGTGAGGGGCACTAAGAGATTGTTCTTGCAGCAAGCATGAATTAATAACATGGAAAGATGGTGTGGTTTTCTCTTTGACATTTGTCCGCATATTCTTTTTGCAGGTGGCATTTTAACTGAAATAAAAATTTGAAAGGATATAGCACTGTTAATCCTTTACACACAGAAATACATTAACTGGCTTTTGGTATTTGTCATTGTATCTTATAGAGCGCTTTGAATATCAGGCTGCCTGAACATGCATTGATAATTGCTGTATATCTGGCATTGTTTTTCAGTCTACTGAAAAGTTCATAGATTACACGGAAATCCAGATTACAATAGTGCCACAAAATATCAACCTATAGTCAGGTGCTGATGGCTCATGCCTGTAATCCTAACTACTCAAGAGTCTGAGATCTGAGGATGGCAGTTCAAAGCCAGTCTAGGCAGGAAAGCCTGAGACTCTTATTCCTAAGTATCTACAGAGAAAGCCAAAGTGGAGCTGTGGCTCAAGTGGTAAGAGTGCTAGCCTTGAAGCTTTGAGCACAAAAGCTCAGGGATAGCACCCATGCCTTGAGTTCAAGCCCCAGGACCGGCACCAAAAGAGGAAAAGAAAGAAATTTTAAATATTTCAAAGTAGGCACCAGTGGCTCATACCTGTAAATCCCAGCTACTTACAAAGCTGAGATTTGAAGATTATGGTTCAGAGACAGCCAGCCAGGTAAGCCCACGAAACTAATGGTGGTTAATTAGAACCAACAAAAAGGCAGAAGTGGAGCTGTGCGTCAAGTTGCAGGGCTCAGCCATGTGCAAGAAAACTCAAACAAGAGGTCAAGGGCCTGACTTCAAGCCCCAGTACTGGCACATGCACATGCACATGTGCGCGCACGCGCACACACACACACACACACACACACACACACACACACTTTTAAACAGTTCAGAAGTACTCAGAGAAAAAGTTTTTTCCTACTTCCCTACACCTTCCTCCAACCTCTTTTTAATCAGTGTTTGCTGAAGTAGACTCTAGATAGTTCTCAAACTTAAACCCTAACTCAAACCCACTACTTAATTCCCAGATTTAGAAACAATTATTTCTCCTTTCGAGGTGTGTGTGTGTGTACGTGTGTGTAAACCCTCTAAAATGTAAACTTAATATACACTTAATCTGGGTACTGTTGGTTTATGCCTGTAATCCTACTTACTCAGAAGGCTGAGATGGCTGAGATCTGAGGATCATGGTTCGAAACCAGCTGTAACAGGAAGGTCTATGAAACTCATCTCCAAGTAACCAAGGAAAACTGAAACTGAGGTATGTCTCAAGTTATAGTGCCAGCCATGGGCAAAAAGGCTAAGGAAGCGTAACAAAGGACTTAAGTTCAAGTCCCAGTACAAGTACAAACAATAATAAACCAAAGCACATGCTTATGAATTGATGACATGTCCCCCATAAATGGAAAACACAGGTCACCAATTCTGTCACAGTATATTAATAAAGTCCCCAGGGTGGGAAAAAATCACGACAAATACTATTATTATATAAACTGATTTTCCACATGAATGGTATCCATAGTAACTTGGAATAAACTTAGTGATCCTTTCTTTATACATGGGTAAACTATTAAGTAAATAAATATATCTACAATTACAGTGCCATCTACAGGCAAAGAAAGTAAATGTGTGGTAGCATGTAATGCTTTTAGTATTTTCTAATGGCTACTTTACATTTAAAGGCAAACTAAATTTGATCACTTAAAAGTTGTGACTGAAAATCACAAATTAACTGATTACATTTGCAAGACACAATTTAACTTATGAAGTATTGATAAAACATGCTTTATACATTTTTTTTTTAGGGTCCGGTACATGGGGCCTGAACTCTGAGCCTGAGCGCTGTCCCTCAGCTCTTCAGCTCAAGGCTAGCCCTCTACCACTTGAGCCACAGCGCCACTTCCGGCTTTTTTCTTTTTGCTTATGTGGTGCTGAGGAATCGAACCCAGGGCCTCATGCATGCAAGGCAAGCGCTCTACCACTGAGCCACCTTCCCAGCCCCTATATTTTATTTTTACTACTACTGAATAAAGCATCTCTCATTCCACAAATACCTTAAAATTGTGAAGGTAATTTTTTAAAAAACCAATGGTAATACTGCAATATCTCAATGTGAGGTTTTTGAGACTGGTATATTGCTAAAGTATACAATGACCAAAAAAATAATGTGTGTGCTATCTGTGTTATACATATATATATATATATATATATATATATATATATATAAAATGTAACATATACATATACATATGTATATATAATTCCAAATGTGCTGAGCACCAGTGGCTCACAGCTATAATCTTAGCTCATCAGGAGGCTGAGATCTGAGGATCACATTTCAAAGTCAGCCCAGGCAGGGAAGTTTGAGAGGCTCTTATCAAAAGCCTTAAGTGGAGCTGTGCCTCAAGCGGTAGCCTGCTAGCCTTAAACCTAAAAGCTCAAGGACACCAACTAAACTCTGAGTTCAAGCCCAGGACTAGCTCATATACTAATAGAATTTATCATGATGTTACCAGCAATGAGAAGATGCTCAGATCAGATTTTTGCAAGAAGTATATGTTAGTCACCTCACCCCACTCTAAATTTAATTGATATAAACTGCTTACGATGGTTTATGATATGGAATAGTTTAACAAACATCTTCCAAATGCACAAACGTTTCCTTCCTCTAGCAACTTGAGACGTGAAAATAACCCTACTGTCACTTACTAAGTTGGTATTAACTTGATTTTTAAAAAGAATCAATAATATATCCAAAGTCACAGGAATATATTTAAGATGGAGTCTGAATACAGTTGTGCCTATCTCTAGAAGCTGAGGTTAAGATAACAGCAAAAAGACACCAATATAAGCAAAAAGCCAGGGATCAACAGATATCAAAATATAAAAAAATATGAAAAAATCTGGTTTCAAGTTTTATCAAAGATTATTTATCAGAGTGGGAAACTTTCTGCTTGTGGGCCCTGCTGTAAGGCACTCAAAATTTGCCACAGATACATAATACTTCTTGTAGGCTGCCCACAACCCGTCTGCCTATATTAGTAATTTTGTCTGGTCATGGGCATTCCTGATGTCCATAAAGGAGTAATAACTAACTCTTCTGAGATAGCTATCATGAGAAGGAATGGTATTTCCCATGTATATTGCTTTGATCAATTATTTCAAAACTGGGAAAGGATGACAAGAATAATTAGCACACTGTTCATCTCCTTCCCTCCAACCATGTGTTTAGGGTCACTCCGTTTCACTTTCTAAGCAAAGGGCAAGAAGATATGAACCAAGGTTGCAGCAACTGCTTTACCTTTTACTTTTCATTAGCCTATGTTCCTAGTAGTTTAAAAAGATATGCTGCACACCAGTAGCTCATGTCTGTAAAACTAGCCATGCGAAGAGAGCTGAGGATCAAAGCTCAAAGCCAGGCTGATCAGGAAAGTCCATGAGATTCTTATATATACTTAATCAGCAAAAGGCTAAAAGTAGAGCTGTGGTTCAAGTGGTAAAGGGCCAGTCTTGAGTGAAAAAACTTTGGGAAAGAACCCACTATACACACACACACACACACGTCTAAACTATGACACAGAATGAAAGCCATTGAAAGAACATGAAGTTTGGAGTCATACAGATCTTAAATTCACACTATCAGACTTGCTGCATATCCCTAAAATTTTAAAACATCAAATCCCAATTTATTTGGATGTTATAAAAATTAAAAAGAAGCTGGTGACTCATGCCTGTAATCCTAGCTACCCAGGAAGCTAAGATCTGAGGATTGATTCAAAGACGGCAGGACAGGAAAATCCATGAGACTCATCTCCAATTAACCACCAGAAAACGGGAAGTGGCACTATGGCTCAAGTGGTACAGCACTTGCCTTGAGGTGAAGAGCTGAGGGATAGCACTCAGGCCCAGCGTTCAAGTCCTACTGCTGACAAAAAAATAAAATAAAATGAGACAATTACAAAGCTCCTGGTAGATACTCAAGAAATATTAGCTCCTCCTCTGGCCAGGAGTGACACATGTAAGCCAAGTGTCTGTGGCTCAGGCCTGTAATCCTAACTATATAGAAGGCTGAGATGTGAGATGCAAAGCCAATCTGGTTAAAAAAGAAGAAAAAAAAAAGTCCATGAGACTTGTATCTCCAATCAACCAGCAAAAAGTCAGAAGTAGAACTGTGGCTCAACAGGTAGAGTGTCAGCCTTGAGCATAAAAGCTACTGGACAGCTTCCACACCCTGAGCTCAAGCCCCAGTACTGGCATACAGGAAGAAAAAAAAAAACCCTGATGATACGGAGGGCATCCACTTTAAACATCATGCTTCATTATCTCTCTCAGGCACACTGTAGCATAACATGAAGCATCAAGATCAAAGGAGATGGCAAGGGAGAAGTTTGCTGCATGGATGTGAGACCCTTCCAGTTCCACAGCAGTGTCATGATCTCCAGAAAGCTGGTGTGTTAGCTTGTGAGGCCATTTGAGAATCTGTCGGTAGCATCCTGGTATGTTCAGTTTGAGAGTCGGTACTTTAAAACGACATGTCCGTAGCCCATCTCGGCTAAGTATTTCCTGGTACCACTGCCCTACTTTATTCTTTGGGTATAAAATGTTGTATCCAAGAACTGGCAGAACTACCTGGGAATGAAGAGGGAAAAAAGAAACAATAATAACAATATACATATGAAACAACCCTCATTAGAATATATAATTATATGTTACTTCTATGACTGAGACCTAGATCTGTAAAACATCAGTCTCAGGACCTAAACCTTATAGGCAGACTAAAATATTCTTTGAATAACACACTATGATACCTTTAACACTGCCTGGTAATGAAAATAGCTAATGGAAATAAAGAACTCAGCTGGACATTGGTGGCTCATAGCTATAATCCTAGCGACTTACCAGACTGAAATCTGAGGTCCCAAATAGAAGCCAACCCAGGCAAAAAATCTGTGAGACATTTATCTCCTATTAACCGACAAAAAGCCAGAAGATGGAACTGTGGCTCAAGTGGTAGAGCTCCACTCTAGAGCAAAAAAGCTAAGTTTAAACCCCAGTACCTGAATTTAAAAAAAAGAAGAGTTAATAAAAATGTATAGAATTATAAACTGAATGTGTGTGTATAAATAAATAAGTTAATTTAGAAATAACTTAAAAGCAGGAAGTGTGTCAGGATTTTATCTTTGGTGGGCAATGTTTGTCCTTAATAATTTATACGAAAAATTTACCTGGTGCATTGCATATGTACTAGCTGATTCCTCTTCCTTAGTTACCAGGTGAACCTAATTTTTAAAAAAAACATGATGAAAATATGAATGGTTACCAACTGTTTTACACGACTGCAATTTTCCCTAACTCTGCTGGGTATAATTTGATTCTTATACTAAATATGCATATATGAAAACAAGATCTTTTCCTAATAGCCTGTCTCTGGAGAAAATTAGCTTCTAATAAAAATTAGAACAGTTCTTACTGCCTTCTATACTGATCGCTAAAGCTGGAAAACAAAGAGAATGGGAAGCTGCTCTGAGACAATACTGTTATTGCAGACTTTTTTTTTTTTTTTGGTACTGGTGTGAGGCTTGAACTCAGGGCCTGGGCTATGTCTAAGCTTTTGTGCTCAAAGCTAGTGCTCAATCTCGTAAGCTTCACTTCCAGCTTTTTTTTTTGTCGGTCATGGGACTTGAACTCTGGGCCTGGGCGCTGTCCCTCAGCTCTTCAGCTCAAGGCGAACGCTCTACCACTTGAGCTACAGTGCCACTTCCGGTTTTCTGCTGGTTTATTGGAGATAGGAGTCTCACGGTCTCTCCTGCCCGGGCTGGCTTTGAACCGCGATCCTCAGATCTCAGCCTCCTGAGTAGCTAGGATTACAGGCGTGAGCCACCAGCGCCCGGCCACTTCCAGCTTTTGTAGTGGTTAATTGGAGATAAAAGTCTCAGACTTGTCTGCCCAGATTAGCTTTAAACTGTGATCCTCAAATTTCAGCTTCCTGAGTAGCTAGGATGACAGGAGTAAGCCACTGACATTTGGCTTCTTATCTCAGTCTTACCATCTTCTCCTAACTTACAAAGGGTTTTTTCCTATTTATTTATATATTTATTTATTATCTTTTTTTAGTATGTGTGTGCACACACACGTATGCGTGCATGTGTGTGTGTGTGTGTGTATGCCAGTTACTGGGCCTTGAGTTCAGGGCCTTGATCTCTTGCTTGGCTTTTTTGTTCAGGCCTGGTGCTCTACCACTTAAGCCAAAGCTCCATATCTTTTATATTTTATTTGTAAGAAGGGTGTTTGACGTGATACTTGTATGATTGTTTTAAGAAGTGTTGTGTTTTTTTTTTAATTTTATTTTATTTTATTTGTGAACATACTGTACAGAGGGGTTACAATTAAGAAGTGTTGTTTTTTTTAAAGGAAGCTTTGCTGTCTTTATGTCTTTCATTGTGTAGCATTGACCAATCTGAGCTAAGTTCAATTGTCAGCAGATGAGCATAATAGAAATAAAGAGATAAATTAATAACGTTTTAATGTGTTCCCCAAATTAGAGCTTCTGAAAATGACTGCTCCTCATGCTACCTCCACACCCACGGTCAGATGATACTTACTTTACTACTGGAGAAATGGTCATCAATGTCTTCCTCCAAACACACCAGATCACCCTCCACTACCTTGCATCCGTAGGTGGCAAGTCTGTAAGATGCTGCCTCATTCCAAATCTTGCTGCTATAGGCATGGACATAAAATATGCGCATGGAGTGGGGGAAAGAGAACCAGGCCTGAGTACATCCCTCCTCTGTCATGCCAAAACGATGCAGGGACTCCAGCAGTGCCCTTTCTCGAACTTTGAACTCGGGCATCAATGAAAGTGTACCCTTTACATCCTCTGAAATGAAGAGCAAATCAGATCTTCAGTCATTCATAGAGGTCTTTCTTATGCTGACAAAACAAAAGGCAATCATACTAAGAACAAGCTGCTCAGAGCTCAGCAATATCAGTTAAATCTAGTTACACCTCTTAAAACGTGTGTGTGTGTGTGTGTGTGTGTGTGTGTGTGCGTGTGTGCGTGTGCACACATGCTTGTACTGGGGCTTAAACTCAGGGTCAGGGTGTTGTCCCTTAGCTTTTAAGCTCCAGGCTGGCACTCTACCACTTGAGCCACAGCTCCACTTCTGGCTTTTTGGTAGTGAACTGGAGATAAAAATGTCATGGATATTCTGGCCTAGGCGGGCTTTGAACCACGATCTTCAGATTTTAACCTCGTGTGGCAAAGGATTTTGACCAAAGAAAACCAAGAAACTATTTCTTTCCTCTCCTCTAATCCCAAGGAGTAATTACAACAGATCAAATTCCCAGAGAGCTGGCAAAAAAAGTAGCACTATCATGTAATAAAATAATTCAAAATATAATACGTATTACAATGGATTTCTTTACACACTCTGAGCAATAATGCTTTCCTGCTGTCCTAACATTTAGATTATGCATCCCTATTGCTATACACAGAGTAGAAAGCTTTACATACCAGTTTGAAGAAAATATTTCTTTGCGTTGTTTACAGGATCATCCAAGTCTTCTGGTGTAAGAAATAATTTTATTGCTTTCATCTTGCAAAACCAAGCAAGCAAACATGTTAAAGAAAATGTTAAATTATATTTGTGCGTGTATGTGTGTATGAGACGGGAGGGGGGAGATAATCCCAGGACTTGAACTCAAGGACTGAGTGCCATCCCTGAGTTTTTTTGCACAAAGTTAGTGTTCTACCACATGAGCCACAGCTCTGCTTCCACCTTTTGGTGGTTCATTAGTGGTTTTCCTGCCCAGGCTAACTTTGAACTGTGCTCCATAGATCTTAGCCTCCTAAGTAGCTAGGATTAAGAAATGAGCCACTAGCACCCAGCCAAATTACATTACCACCCCCCCCCACCCTCATCGTGGGGCTTGAACTCTGGGACTAGCCACTGTCCCTCAGCTCTTCAGCTCAAGGCTAGTGCTCTACCACTTGAGCCACAGCGCCCACTTCTGGCTTTTTCTATGAATGTGGTGCTGAAGAATCAAACCCAGGGCCTCATGCATGTGAGGCAAGCACTCTACCACTGAGCCACCTTCCCAGTCCCTTCTTTCTTTCTTTCTTTCTTTCTTTCTTTCTTTCTTTCTTTCTTTCTTTCTTTCTTTCTTTCTTTCTTTCTTTCTTTCTTTCTTTCTTTCTTTC